AAAAGAGAAAAGAAAATTTAATAAAGTACATATCTTCCATGCGCCTGAAATAATATTAGTAAGGGCAAAGATCAAGTATTAATAAAATTCTTTCGATAAATAAAACTTTAAACCTAAATAAAATACATACTCGCCAAATCGTATTTACACCTCTATTCAAGTCTTGAAATTGACGTAGCGCAAGAATTCTGGTCTTCTAGCAACAGACTCGCCATTTTCAAACTCAACACTATCAAGAGAACAAACCTTAGAAAAAGAAGAAAACCTCCTGTTAGAACGCATGAGCATTAATACAATGCAAACAGATGACACAAATAGTAATTTAGCCCAGGAAAGTATCATTAAGATAAAATCTAAACCTTCCCTCATAGAAGACCTAATCGCATACCCAACTGAACCCTCCAAAATAACTAGTATCGATACAGAATATGAGAGAAAAGATAAGCCATTGTCCAATAAAAGTGAAGTCCAAACAATACAGTTCTCTATAGAAACTGCTCCAACACTACTATATATTGAAACTGAAAACATAATATGCAACGTAGAAATAGAATTACAAGACAACTCTCAAAAGAAAGCCCTAACAGAGCAAGAAAAGGTAGCACATATTCCAAAAGATTATTTAGAAATCGCCAAAAATATATTATTAGAGAAAGAGTGTGGTATATTAGATTACGGGCTCCAAGAACTTATCAAAGATGAATTACAAGCAGACACAAAATATTTAAAGCAAACAAGATACAAGAAAACCAAACAATATGAAAATATCTACAATTCGTTGTGGGCCCAAAAACCAAAATTATGTACCAAAAAGTTCCTACCTTATCTACTTTTCTCTTTACAATATGGGATCTACTAAAAGACATGAAAGTACTTTTTTGTACTATATATTATTACCTTAACTAGTAACAAAGTAAAACAATAAATAGTAAAAATAAATACATCTAACCCGCAGTAAATGATCGACAAAAGTAAACTTAGAAATTAGAAAATTGAGACAAACACAACTCCGGTGAAGAATCTACAAACCATGGTTGTGAAATTAATTAATAAAAATTTATTTATTTTTATATCTTAATTTAATTAATTTCTGGAAAAATAATTTAATAATAAAAAAAAAATTGATTGACAAAAATGTTTTTGTTTTAGCCGAAATAGATTTGATCAGCTAAGACACCTTCCTTTTAAGGAAGGTTTATGTAGAAAAATTTATTCGTTATTAATTAAGAAATTTTAGGTTAAAAAAATATATAGTTAAATTTTTTTTTTCACTATTTTTTGTTTTAAAAAAAAAGAATCGTGCATTTTTTCTAAAAAAGGAAGGTGTCTTAGCTGATCAATTTTCTTTAACTCCGGTTATTTTTTGATCAGCTAAAACACTTTCCTTTTTTAGAAAAATAGACAAGGCAAGTTAACGATGTTTTTTTGGGGTTAAATATTTTATTTATCTAAAGCGAAGCGAATAAGTTAATATAGAGGTAAGTTAAGTATATTTTATTTTTTTTTATTTTTTTTTAAGAATGTTAAATAAATTAATTTAAGTATTTATATAAGTAAAGCGGTGTAAATTAGAAGTAAGTTGGAAAGTTGGTTAAATTAAATGAGCAAGCAAATATTTAATATAGAAGGTAAGTAAAACGTAGATTTATTTAATAAGTTAAACGTATTTAGGCTCTTTTTAAATATTTATTAGTATATTTGGTTCTTTTTTTTTAATTATTGAATATTATAAGCGAAGTGGTGTAAAGTTGGTTAAATTAAATAAGTAAGCGAATATTTAATATAGAAGGTAAGTAAAAAATGTAGATTTATTTAATAAGTGAAGCGAATGTTATTAAAGATGAAAGTTAAGTGTAATTGGTTTTTTTATTAATAATAAGTTAATTTAAGATGTAAATTAAATA